TACAGCCTCTAACTCCCTTATTATGATAGCCATGGTCCAATTTCTGCTGCGTGAGTGAAATCTAAGATTTTTTGTATGGCTGCTTATTTATGCTTGTAATGCAGAATTGCTGGATTAAATTATGTCTATCAAAAAGCCCAATCCTCTGGTCATCCATCTGTTGTTTCCTTTTCACTTATATATGAAGCATCAAGACCCCTTGATGATGCTGTTAACAAAGTATGCCTTTTCTGCTCTTCTACAAAGATCATATCTAGAGCAAAAGATTAATTATATCAATTCAGCTAGCAAATAATGGGATTCCTGTTGTTGTATGCAGTGACCCCTCCCCCCTTTTTTTATAAAACTTTCTGCTTAATCTGGAAGATTAGGTTTCAGCAGGCAATAATGCAGAAGAAGCAAGCCTTTATTCTCCAGGCCGTGCTCAAAATGCAATCACTATTGCTGCATCTGATATCTTAGATAGGAAAATAGCATCCTCAAATTATGGGCTGGCTGTTTTTATGTTTGCTCCAGGCAATAGCATTGTTAGTACTTCGATTGGAGATGAACATGTGAGTCTAATTTACAGCATGTAATCTATGCTCATTAGCTGTCTTTAAAACTGCTCAGGCAACTACAATTCAATCTGGAACATCTGCAGTATGTACATTTTCTATTCAGAAAAGTCATTGATGTAAGAATTGATTATCAATGTACAGTCTACTCCTTATGTTGCAGGCATTGTTGCCAGCTTTCAGCCACATGCAAACATGTCTATAGAAGATGTGAAGTTTGCCTTGCACAAGACATCTCTTCTAAATGTTTTACAGGATATTCGTAAGGTCATCATCTCTTACATATATCATCTGAGCTAGATCAGAGTAAAGCTTTATTCACACCAAACAGACTTGCACAGAATGGGTTTCCACTAAAGGAGCAGGAGTGATTATTAGTGTACATTGATGGCTTTGATGTAACAAAGTTACAGTGTTTGAAAGAGTTCAGTGTCTCAAGTCATGCAATTTTAAATCAGACTGATGGTAGGATTGAAAAAGACAAAAAAAGTACAAAATACAAGGGATGATAGGATGCATGTATATACATGCTGCTGTGTTACATGCCTTCCGAAAACAATCTTGACAAGGAGGACATGTTCTTGGTTATATGGCTTTACGTTTCTGCATCTACATATTCAAGTATCCATTTCTTCTTCTCTTTGGTGTCTGTGATAATCAGTGTGGTTCAAACAAAATATCCATTTTGTGCAGGAAATGCAAAACTTCAGTTGGCTTGGTATCTAGCCGGTGACTGCAATCGGAAATGATGGAGGACCATAACACTGCACAACAGGCGGTGATGCATTCTGGATGTCATGACCATCGAGTCTTGGTCAACGCAGGATGGAGCGTAGACGCCTTTTACCGCGCCAAACTCCCTCTGCCAGCCCGACTCCCACGACCAGCACAGTGAGCACCTCTGCAGTCGTCACGTCCGCCAGCGCCACTCCGTCGACCACCGCCGCCCCATCCTCGTCCCAGTCGCCGCCGTCGCCGTCTTCGTCGAGTACAACGTCCGCATCGTCGTCTGCCTCGCCGTCATCAAGCACCTCCTCATCGTCGCCGTCCTCGAGCCCGCCACCCGCGTCGACGTCCGCGTCCTCGTCGACAGACCCGCCGTCGTCCAGCTCAACGCCCAGCAGCGCCTCATCAACAACACCACCCCCCACCCGTCCCGCGTCTTCCCCGCGCCCCGTGAGCGCAAGCGCACTCACTCCACCGCCCCCGACCTCGCCCGCCGCCTCAAGCACACCCGCGTCCTCCTCCTTCACAACATTCACCACCATCCTCTCCGGCCAGCTCACCACCGTGCGTCTACATGCACAATAATCATCCACATTACATATACTCACGCGCCGCAGATAACCACGCCCGTCCCGACCGCCCTCTCGCCCTCGTCCCCGCCCTCCTCCTCCTCCGCCCACCGCACCTTCACAATCGCCGCCACAGCCCTCGGCGTCCTCTTTCTCCTCCTCCTCGTCCTCCTCACCACCTTTATATACCGCCGCCATCGCCGCAAGCTCCGCGAGCGTCTCGACACCCTCATACGTATGCGCCCGCGGGGCCAGGGCAAGGAAGACAGGGGTCTCCTTGACGGCGAGGACTTTTTCGACGAGGAAGACGAGGGCGTAAGGACACATGGCCGCGGTAGTACACCGTCGACCATGACGCGCCTTGGACCATCGCGTCATGCACCCTCAGCATCCTTATCGTCCACGCGCACAACAACACCGCTTGGTGTACCGTCTCTTGCGATACCCGACGCCTTTGGGTCTGGACTCGGGCTTGGGTTGGGCGCGATCGTGGATAGCGTTATGGGGCGCGATCGTGAGCCTGTGCTGGGGACACAAGCACCTCCACCAACAATCCCTCTGATTCCCCCGCCGCCGCTCACGTCCACATCCCCCTCCACCACATCGAGACCGAAATCACCTATATACACGGACCCCTTCCGTCCGTCATCTGCACATGAGCTCGACGAGTCGGTATATTTCGAGCTTCCGCCTACGCCTGTCGTGCGTTCTCCACCTGCGTCTGTGTCTGCGAGGATGCAGTCGTCGAGCCCGGCACAGACACCGACAAGTATAAGTGGGACGCTGTATACACCGCCCCCGGTTGGGATAGCAATAACAACCGACACGGCGACGGCGACGGCGACGAGTGCGACGCTGCCGCCGGTTGGGATAGCGATAACAACTGACACAGAGACGAGTCCTCCGCCGTATAGCCCCCCGCTCTCAACCTCCACATCCCCATCCGCCTCACAAACGATACCTAGACCTACGTCCCCCTCCGGTTCAAGTCCGGCACAACCACTCCCGCCTCAGTGAATGATGAATTGTGGATTGTGTGGGGCGGTGTGCGGGGCGGGGATGGAGGTTGAAATTCCGGCTCGAGGTTCAGAGCTGATGTATCGAAATACCTGCGAAACGGGACTTTATAGACGATGCGTGAGATGGACTACGAAACGGGACTTTATAGACGATGAGTGAGATGAACTACGTTAGTCTAGTCAGTTTAGTTTAGCTAGTATACTGTCGTATGGTACGTCATCGAACGCTATCGAACTCAAGCTTGTGTATTTAATATTTAATCCGAATCTCGATGACCGGGGTACGATATCGTATGAAGAGATGTAAGCCCAAAGAGGGGGAAAAAAGCTCAAGTATTCAATAGCATAACCAACGACGGGGATCGAACCCGCAACCTTCGCCTGTACCGAGATCTTTATAACATAGGAAAGCGATGCTCTACCATTGAGCCACGTTGGCATGTCACACGATCGCTATAAAGTACATATTTGAAGGCGTCAGTCGAAGTCTGTGCAGTACCCATTACGGAGACGAACTTGAAGGGGCTAACGTTTCTCCAAAAACAGTCGATGATGCTTAGAAACCAACGAAGGGGATTGACATACTTGACTTCTTTCAAAGAAGCCGGGCGGCGTATGTGTATCGTGATGGATAAAACCGAGGCTCTTGGGTCTGCGTTGTGGATTGGGGGACTACATGTGGGAGAGGTGTAGAGGTCAAAAGATGCTTTGTCGTTGAGAAGTGAGCGGTGAGCTACGATTTATCTTCTTTGCTTGATAGATTTGTAGATCAGGCCGCGTCAGCGGATGCTGTCCATGCAAACGACCAGTGCAATGATGGGGCTCAAACCCAGAGAGAAAATCAATCAGCCCAATGAGATTAGACAGAGCGTATGATGAGGGTACTTTGTAGCTGGCCGAACTTGGTTCCTGATATTGATGATGGTCTAGTTGTGGCATGGTCGAAGGAGGTGGGAAGTACTTCAAGATGCATTGGAAATCCAGTGATCATTATTTCCCTTGATGTTGTCCAACTCTGTGTGGTACCGTTACGGATTGCAGTGAGATGGAATGTTTGTGTCATAGGCTGTACGTTTTGTACACATACACATACCTGGGTCGGGGTGATCGATAGTCGTAACTCTGTGGTGATTGCATTTGATCATTTCACCGATGGTAGTTGATTATGTAAGTTTCCTTTCAGCTGTTATACACCGTAAAAGCAACATGGAACGGATACAGAAAGGGATTGAATTGTTTTTTTACCCTTCATCAGGGGGAAAAAGTGGAATAGATGTTGGATGGTGACGACAGTGAGATTCGAACTCACGCCCCGAAGGACTAGATAAGGTGATAGATACTACTTCTCCACAGCCTGATTCTAGCGCCTTAGACCGCTCGGCCATGTCGCCCGTACTTTATGGTTCACCTTTAAGAGTATCACCCCCCTCTGCCGCTCATTGCTTCCGAGCGACCTTTTACTTTTTGATGAAGCGACGACACGAGGGTTCGTAATGTACCACTCTTAACTCTTTTGCTTTTGCACGGTGGGAGAGCGACGACACGATGACCTGTGCATAGGACAGTGGTGGTGAGAGTACAAGAATATGCACAGAATGAGAGCGGCGACATCTCAGCCCCTACTTACTGTTCTCAGCAATCTGCCAAGAAAATGATGGGTGCAAAGTCGAAGTGATGTATGTACCGCGCTTGTTGTGGAGAGGGCCTCCGAAAATGCTACTTAACCCCCTAGAACCCACATTTCCAACGATCAATAACGCGCACTTTCGTTCGTTCCGCTGCTTTGGTTTCGCATTCATCATGCAGAGCCCTTTTACAGAGGTCAATCAAGTAGCCGGACAGGAGGCTCGCTTAAGAAGTCGGCCACAATATGAAACCAGGATACTTTTAGATGGGAGTCAGAACACGACGACTATTATTTGGTCTTGGGGTATGTGGATCATGAATGAACAGTGATTGAGAGAAATTCTGGCCCGGTTTATCCGATATCCTCGCCTCAACACAGATGTCTTTTTGTTTCCCTTAGGCTGTGATTTGGTTGAATCAATGATGTTTCCAAGAAGATCCGTTCATTTCGATCATTCATGTCACTGTCATCCGGACCTCCGTCTAATCCGCGTGTCAGCTTGGAAATGATTAAATCTGATTCTGATTCCAATATATAGAGTAAAGATAAGTTCTCTGTGGTATGCCCTGCCTTACCAACTATTCCTTGAGTTACGATAATGTCAGCCTCGATCGACGTCAACACGAAATTTACTCCAACCCTGGGTGTATACGAGATCGGCGCTCTAAGTTCCATTTTCTTGTTTGGGATGGTGACGCTGCAGATGTTCACATACTACGAGTTCGATTTTCATCTATAGCTACATTGCCTCTAATTGCTTACTCGGCCAGTCAGACGATTTCGTAAGGATCCATGGCACATGAAAGCGTTTGTGAGTGTGAATTTACATGTTCGTTGGGAGTTTGAGACGAATAATTGACAGGTTGGTGCATTATGGTAAATGCTAGATGGGATATCTGCAATGACAGTCATCGCCGACGCTGAGTAGGATAATAGAGCTCGCCCATACGTTATTGTCGGCCCATGCCTTATACTGGGTGAGTGCAGACGTTTCCGGTCATCTTTCCGTCTTGCAATCATGCCTATTGCAGTTTTCAGTAATAAAATACGGACAGCAACAGTTCATTGATCAGTTTCCTGTGTCACTAGCTCCAGCTTTCGTCTTGTCGGGAATCGGTGGACCCACGATCCAAGTATGCCTATTTTTCACACCGAATTCGAATGTTGCAACTTACTTTCCATTCTTATAGGCGTTCTTTGCAAATCGTATCCGTGTACTAACCGGTCAACGAATTCTCTCATGGTTCCTGTGGTTTTTGTGCTTTCTACGTTCTGTTAGTCTTATAGGCGTTGCCGTCGCAATACACAGCTCGGCGTCAATCACAGGTTTTCGAGAGCAATGGTTGTGGCTCCTAGCAACATCCCTTGCGATATCGACGACGCTCGATGTATTGATCACCGCTTCCTTGAGCTGCCATCTGTTTTACCAGCGCAAAACTACACTCAAAAGGTACGTCGATGTGTACCATTGATTCTGTTCTCGCTGACATTTGAGCGGGATGATTAGGATGAAGAGAGTGCTTGATTGTCTCATTGTCTGGACTATACGTACGTGCGGAGTACGATATCATTGAATACAACTCTCAAACAATACTTCCCACCCAAGAGACGGGAATGCTGACGACGTAATGAGTCCTCCCTCTCATCATCCCTCACTGACCAGTAGTTTTCCAGCTTGGCGACGATAGCCATGTTGATCACAGTGGGTATCTGCAGTCATCGTGGTTTTGCAGCCTTTCTCAGCGATCTTGAAAAGTTTATTGCAGTGAGCAACTTTGCTTGGTTGGCACTGTTCTGTATTGTATCTCGTTGTGCGTTGCATCAATTTGGAATATCCTGCTTCAATCAATATTTGAAAATAGTATTTCCCAATTCGCTATTGACCTCGTACGTGCCTGTCAGAGTTTCCGTATTTCACAGATCATGCATCTAAACCATAGGCTTAATGACCGGACCACACTGCGTGCTCTTGGAGAGCGACAAAATACTGCGCAAGGCTTCTCCGACCTAAGTTTCCACATAGCGTCAACGGTACGCATTGTCTATTTTTGGTTCTTCTTCTGACATAGTAATCATCGTATAGGCCCCACAAAATGTCAATTTTGCTATGATACGGACAGTAGATGGGAATAGTAGCACAATGGAACAACAGAGATCAACACGGTATACTTTCTGAGTGATGAGGGTGCGTACGCCTTGAAGTATAAAGGTGTACATTCGCGTTGAGGCATTCTCCACCTTATCGGCTGTGTAGACGTCGTATTTGGCCCATATCATGGCTCATACACAAAGGAAATTAATAGAACTATTCCTGCAGATCGAGCTCTCGATGACCTAGAAACGAAAGAAAATAATATCTCAAGAACTGCTTCTTGTATGAGAGCCACTGTTTGCTACATATAATAAAACTTGTACGTCCTATTTATTGACCCATCCAAATAGGTTTCCCGAAACGTCAGAAGAAACAACTAACTTGTACGACCTCATTCCATATATGAATTTCACCCATGGAAGGAATAGAGGTACTCGTGGAAGATGCAGGACAGGAAAAAAGGCGTCGTCCAGTGATTTCTCAACCGAGAATTTTGGAGGTAGATAATTTTCGAAATCAAGGACGAAGTCGTAAGCTGGTCGATCCGATGTGATACGTGTCACGGCCAATATCCGTTTGATCTCGTCACATCCCATGTACATTTCTCTCTCCATGACATATCGAAAGAATGCTTGAGTGTGGGGCGATTCCAGGAAATTACGCTCTGATAGTCACAGTTAGCTCAGTTTTTCAGCAGTCCGTTTCAAAACTATAGCTACATACCGGGACGATATGAGCCACATGCCCTTCGGTGGCGTGGCCAATCCAGCCTTTGACATGTCCGTGAGCAGTAGAACGCAATTTTGCAACCAGTACAACGAGGAATCCTTGTTAATGTACGTGCTCCGTCACACTATATTACAATCCACCTTAGATTATATCACAGATCCACGGGAGAGAAAAAATCACTTTATCATACGAACATTGAGGTGAATAGTTCCCCTGCAGGAAGAATTCTACGTGGGCAGCGTTCGCCCAGCCAACAGCAGTTTCCAATCGTGACCACGTTGATCTAATCTTCGTGTCCGAGATTTCCTGTAAGATGGCGGGGTCCACCGATGGTAACGTTATTCGCCGCAGGACGGGTCGATGTATTGAATTGGCACGTAAGACATGGATTAGATCCTCAATGCCGGCAAAGAAATCAGGGTGAGGATCGCGGTGGGCAGCAGTCTTCAGTAGCAACGACGCAAGGTCGTGTCGTAATGCATAAACGATCCAGGAGTGCCCATCAGTACAGATAGTGATGTAACGGTGCATTAACATTAGCACAGTGATCAGAGCACTAGCCTCGTAGGGTGATGGTGGAGAATAATTACAAATCAATTTTTCAGGTGACGAAAGGAGGAAAGCAAGGGTTTCACAGAAGTATGATACAACAAGCCTGCATGAGAGTCCTCGATATATTTCGGGGTTCAGCAAACATAATTCGAAATAAACGTTGAGAAAGAAAGGAAGGCATGCCGACCATTGTGACCCGCCCCGAATGCACATCAAACCAGGTTGAAATAATGTATGAGCAGCCTTATTCTTGTTGAACCCAATTACGTGACGGAATTCATGGATATTTGATAGGGGAGATCGAAGGAGATGATATAATGTTTCTGTGGAATGGAGCGATCGATCCAACAAATGCTCCGGCCGTGGCGGGTGTCTCGCGCGATCGATAAATATTGCGGCGCACAATCCCAGAAATCCCTTACTTGAAGCAACACCCGGATCAAGCGGAGGCTGTACTGCCAGGTAGAAAAGATATTCTATCGCCGCAGCGAGACCATATGTGCGGTTGAAATGTATTCCGTCCGATTCAAGAACGAGGGTGCGATAAAGAACCTCCAGCCATTTCCACATCTTCGGCCACGCGGACAGAAAAAATTGCTTGAAGCCCTTAAGCTCGGCGCCAAGCGGAATGAGAGCTATCTGAAGCTCATGCAGAGCGTAGATGACACCAAATACACTGTCATGTGAGATAATTGTCGGGGGTTCAGGGTCGAACTGGGAAATGTAAAACTCAAGGATATCAGGATGTTGTTTTAAAGTCGGGTATTTATGATCCAAAATCGACGGAACTCGGGTGATATGTGCTTCAGGTTCCTTGTATGCCTTTTCTAGGAGATCCTAACACACGTAGAATGATTCAAGTAGGTGATTTCGAAGGTACAGTAATGGAGACTACTTACCTTTAGTTCCTGAGGCAGTTGAAGTTCGGACGACGTGCCTTCGACCGTATGCATGTCCAAGTCGGATCCGGATTCCAAGTGTGAACACAAGATTGCTACGAGTTCTCCTAGTTGGACAAGTTGGTATTGCAAAATTTTCGTCAACACGCACTTAACACGTACTCAACGAGCTTCGGTTTGTACAAGGCAAGGAAGCCGCGAAGCTTGACGGTCCTTCGGCATATCCCGTCCACCTTTGGTGTGAGCCGAAAGCCTACAACACCAGTACAACAACCGCCATCATTATGACGTGCAGATAGACCGCGTACCTGACAGGCTCAAAATACAAACTCACTCCTCTAGCAGCGTAGCTATGCCAACCCAGCTCTATCGCTTGACACGCAGCGGATTTCAAAGGTCTCTTGTCGTCGACGCGCCCAATGATCCAAGCTCAAGCCAGCTATACAACCTGATGAAGGCCACCATGTCTATTCGGACTCCTGTCTTGAACAA